TCATAGGTTGATATAAGTATAAAACCTGGGCAGTGTGGTAGAGTATAACACTATTATGGATAAGATTCTATTTTGATAAATCACACAGCGATATACAGTTAATATTACTGTATAACAACACTGTGAGATTTATCAAAATAAAATCTGATTTATAATGGAGTTATAGTAGCAGGTTTGTTGTTGGAATTTAGATAGAGCTGACTCCATGTGTCCCTTGGATGCATCTATCTCCAGAGTGTGAAATGAGATTATGTGCCCTGACTGGCAACAGATTTCTAAACTCCGCGTGTTCAGGTGGATAGATGCTGACCAACCATGAAGTACTGTGACATACAGGAGTGAGTAGTGAATGAATTTCACTGCTAGTCAGAATCATTCAAATTAATCACTTGGAATAGTTACAATCATTAATCAATTGAATACAGTGACGACAGGAGATTAAATTAGGTAATGATTTCCCACTGGGTAATGACATTTTGCTGGTGTGGTGATAGTTGAACTATGGACTTGAATTTCTAGTCCAGAACTGTTAACCTCTTAATTCTCTCTACGTTGGTCACTTGAATGAGACAATGATTTTAACTATTCCAGCCGATGTAAATGAATGAAATTCTTCAACTTTTGAGAATGGAATCACCGAGGAGAAATCTCTGAGTAGATTCAAGCATTTCCTCTCCATTTCCATCACCATGTACTCAGACGATGACAAGCCTGTGGTGAAGATGAATTTCATTCGAAGATGTCTTCATAATTCTGTTGGGATCATTCGAAAATGCAGGTAATGAATTTACCCCATTATCTGTTTGAAATGAAATAATTATTGTCAGTAGATCTCAAATTGTGTCTTGTCACCTGTTGTCCCAGAGAAATACTCTTCATCAGATTTGACTATTTCTCCTCTCCTCGACTTAAAAAACTTCGCATAAAACAAGAAAAGTTATATCAAGTGAAGGATATCATTGGTGTGAGAAGAATTAACATCCTCATCAAGTCTGAAATGCACCGATTGAATTCAAATTATAGCGAGAAATTTAGATCCCGTAAAAATGCCTCCAATATATGGAAACTCATAAAAGAAATTACTGCTGGTAAGCAGATGAATATTATTCCTTTTATGTGTGTACACTGAAGAAGTCTTTCATACATTCTCCCACAAATGTCACACCTTCTAGTGTTACAAGTGCTGATTAAACCTGCTTCCCTGGTTCTAAAATGTCTTCAGTCGCTGAATCATTCTTGTAGCTTAGGTGCAGATGGTTTGCCTAGTGCTACTCTTAAAAAGTGTGCAGATATCCTGTGTCTTCCTCTCATGGACATATTTAACGAATCTTTATCCAGAAATGTCGTGCCAGCCGTTTGTTGAGACATCAAAATTGTACCTATACACAAGTCATCTACTGGAACATGTTTTAAATTCAGAGCTATTGCTATGCATCTCCTTCTCTAAAATCTATGGAAAATTTGCTACAACTCAATATTCAACCTTCACTTAAATCCTTTGACAATCTCAAACAATTCGCCTATAAACACAGTAGAAGTACTGTAGATGCAGCTGCAGTCTTGCTTCACAACATTGTCTCCAGTTTAGACAAGAGGACTGAATTTGTTCGCTGCACCTTCCTAGATTACACATCTGCTTTCGACTTAGTTGGTATCTAGAGACATTTTGTTACAGAAGCTTGCTGAAACTCAAACTGACTGTTGGATTGTCAAATGGCTGCATTCCTTATTTCTCAGGAAGGGAGCAGTACACTGTGTGTCAGGGAAAGTCGTCCACTTCATTGCTTACTGAGGCTGGTGTTCCTCAACGCGTTGTCTTTTCTCCTTTTGTGTTTTCTTTCTTCTTGTATGACTTGCCTCACTCTGATGACGGAGTGAACTTTGTTAAGTATGCCGACGATCTAACTATTTCCATGTCTGTTAACTCCCAGCTAGACTGTACTAAGATGAACAGCTTTCTATCAGGAGTTAGCAAATTGTCTTTGTCTAATGGTTGGTCTTTAACTAAATCCTTCCAAATATCAGACTGTTAATTTCAGTTTCCGACGAAAAAGAAGTTTAAATAAAGGTGTTAGCTCCTATGACCGTTGCAAAATTGATGATATTTTTATGGTAATCAAGTGTGAAGTAAAGAATCTTGGAACAATTCCTTCTTTTGACCAATCCTGGTCTTCCCATGTCTTAGCGATTTCTAAAAGACTATTAATTCTGCCTTTTTACATTAAGAAGTTAAGGCACTCAGACAACCTCTCCTTTTAAAGTTTTTCAACTCGTGCATCTTACCTATTCTTCTTTACTGCTCACCCTGATTCTTTCCTGGACTGCTTAAATAGACTATGTCATACTTCGTAGAACTCTGAAGACTGTCGTTGACACGGTCATTGACAGGCACTTGATTTCATGGGACAAATCTGCTAAAAGAATTTTGTCAGACTGTGAGCATCCACAGCAGCACTTACAGCTCTAACCTTGTGTCTCCTTAGGTAGAACAAGTGGTCTTTTCAGAAGACTCTGTGCGCGTACGTCTAAGTAAAACAATTCCACTATATCATATTTCGCACGTTCTATATGTGATGAAAATAGTGTTAGGCATGAACTAACTAACCTTCTTTGCACTATTCAATGAACCATTTCCTCCTTCCTTACAACATCAACCTTTATTGTTATTGTACTTCTTATATTTATAATCCTCTCAATTTTGTGTTTCATTTGTTTATTTTTTCATAAGTGTGAACATCATTTAAGCTGTGTTATAACTGTTAATTTTGTATTTCCCCTCACCATACTGTATCAACAGAACATCAGATTCAATACTGTATAACATGCTAAAATTTCCAAACTGAATCGACAATTCTGTTTGAAACAAACTCGCTGTTATTATTATTATTATTATATTTAATAATCTCAATTCTTACTTCAAATATTCTTGACTTTATTTCGTAAAGATGGACAAATTCCTATGCTTAATTTTGTTTTAGGTTTTAATTCTATTTGTATTTTGAGTAAATGAGAAACAATATTGTGACAAATACTGACAATTTCATTTTGTATTGTAACTACCGTTTTTGGAATAAAGCAGATTATTATTATTATCATTATCCTGTGTTAGATACATACAAAGAATCACATGAAAAATCTGTACAAAATACACAATTCGATAATTGCAACAAAAGTCATTTCATGTGGAGTGGAATCAATTTGAGAATCAGAATGGACTACGATCTCTCAATATGTGTAATTGTGTCGGTTGTAATCAATGAAATCGAAATATTTATGTGAAAATACATGTGAATATTCTCAGAAGCAGCGAATCTCGAAACTAGTAGCTACAACCAGTAAGTAGATTTCAGCTACATCTCACTTCTTAGTTGCTCACTTAAGGAGGAGTACTCATGTGATGTTTTTCATTCTGAATTTGATCATATCCAGTTTACTTTTCGTTACTCGATAGACGCATATCAAAATGAATATTTTAGTTCATTAGTTAATGAAATTAGTTATTTTGAAAAATGCTCAGCTGTGGTATCACGTAGAGTCACACACAACTAAACATTTCGATGCGATAAAGTGCTACTAATTATATTTGTTATAACAGTGTGGAGGTTGAGATTTATACCTGACGCTTCATTCAACTAATCAATCGAGAACTGGCTCAATACGATTGACTCGACACCTATCCAAGATATCTGCAGAATTCTATTATTCAACCTTACAAGAAACCGAGTAGAAGACAGTGAGAATATACAAATCGAATTTCGAAGTCATGTGGTCAAATGTGACATGTTTGAATCATCACTCAGTCGATGAAACTATTCCACTTTGTGATACATCCAATAATCAAACCAGGGTGAGATGACTAACTCGAATAACGAAATATACTCCATTTGACAGGGGATGTTCTGAACAAGTTCACAAGCGGATTGCATATTAGGGAGGAGGGGATCATTTCATATGATTTCCTATGATACAAGCACATTCGAACATTTTAACTTGTCCGACTCAGTAGAAGTCTGATGCTACTGATATCATCCTTATATCTCTGCAATATCCTGTCTCCAGCCAAAAGAATTCACATAGACACATTGCGAACATCTTCATTGGCCTGAGTCATTCATTGTCAAACACAACATTTATCGTTCATGGTGTCGCACACACACACACACACGAGACTACTCATATCATATGTAACACTTCATTGAGTTCGAAAGCCTACAAAATATCACTAATGAATTATTATTCGTATGCCCAACTGATTGGTGAACCTTTCAAGCATATGTATTCAGGTGACGCATTCGCGCTCCACTGAAACCTTTCACAACTATGTATCTCTCTTCCAAAATTATATGAAAGTGTGAGTCTCTGAACAGACCATATTTCTCTGACAACGTAGATCGATTGAGGCACTCACTTATGCTTGTGGTATGCTAGGCTGAAAATTGCATGACCGCTCTCACATTAAAACTTAATCACTGACAAGATATTTATTGTATTCAGAAAAGGTAAATCGTTTTTGACCACTGTATTACTCCTCTTCTTCCTCGCCTTCTCAGAAATGTTGAAGTGTACAGTCAGTTTGAAAAACAGTGATATATATATGTATAAATGTGCATTTGATGGTGTTGATGTTTACAGGTATATTTTGTTTGTTTTTCTTATTACAGAATATGAATATCAATGTGAATGTCTGTGCAAGTAGTAACACACTTCAAAAGAGAGAAAGAAACAATGAATAACATGTCGTCATGAAGAGGAACTAGAAATCACAAAAATCAAAATTAAATTAAGAGGCCTACAGAGTGACATTTTCCGATTTAACTGCCTGCTAATACAGATAAGCTGAAAGAAGTATTTTGCGAATCAGACTGGTGATTTGTTTTATTGAAGAAATATGCTAAATTAATTTCGAGTAGGACGAACAAGTTGATCGTAGAAAGCCAGATGACGAACGCTGTGGTAAATTCTAGGGCAGTGCAATCAATCCACCAAGTGATTTCTTCGTCATTATTGACATAGGTGAACAATAACTACAATGTAGAGAAAGAGAAAGATTATTGACAGAGATGAGTGAATACAGGCGATCATCTCAAATGTACAGCAATTCAAATTAATTATAATTATCTAGCCAATGTGATAAGATTGTTTTCATATGATGAAATATAGACATCTGAATCAATAAAGAATTATTTACACATTCACTGTCGGCTTTCAGATCATACATGAGCAGATGTTTGCTTGTTTTCAATATTGTAGTGAGAATTCGGTTCACACCTAAAAGAAGATTATAGATTCAGAATGATGGGTCAAGTGTGTCATTATTCATTTTATGATTTGTCAGTCTCAAATGCGCAGTGAAGTTGTGGGAAATCCCTTAATGTAAGTGCGTATGGCTGGTGAGGGAACATGAAATCATTGACAAACAGCATCCAATCTAAATAATACAAGCTGTTTAATAATCCAGCCATTTCCTAAGCACACACAACACGAATTCATATACGACAATCACAAGGAGCGAGTTATCGAATTATTAACGACTCGCATAAATTCGAATCGTGATTACTACACTCCAGTGAAAAGCAGGACTTTACCATAATTTCAGTGATTTAGAAATCCGTCAAGTGCAACAGTGTACAAAATCATCTACTCTGGAAATACACTCTCAAATATCGTGGATGTGTTCACGTGCCTCGTGATGTAATATGAACACAAATCGACTCAGCGATACTGTGATTCACACTGCAATTCGGCGACTATCAAATAACTGATGTGATTCGTGTAATTTACTCGTCAAAATAAACATGGTTGATACAGCGATAAAATAATAAACTTACGAAGAGTATGAATAACGCACAGAAAAATACCACCAGAGCTAAAATTATCTGCGTGGAAAATACGAGGAGAAATGAATAAATCATGAGGGAAGAGGTGCACACAAGCTTTGTTAATCTATGCAAATTACAACATTGACATATCTACTGATCTGAGATCTGTGGACATTGACTATTATCAAAACATGCTGACAGTTGAATCACACCTGTCAGTGACACTGGCTGCATGTGGTGAGGCTAAAATATGCGAATATATGTCATTCACTCAATATAAACAACTACTGCATCACTTCACATTTCTTATCTGACAACAGAAATGTGATTATTCACTAGGCCACTTCGACTACAGTCACATCTCTGTTAGTCCAATATATATTCCGTGGAATGTGACAGTCACACCAGTGAATTGTTACCAAACGAGCTATAATCCATACATAGACGTGCCAAAGAAATTTACTGTAGACGGGGTTAGGTGGTAATATATCAAATTGCTAATCACTCTTCCAATCAAAATATAGAATTCGAAGTGACAGCATGAACGACAAGTGTATCAGGATGAAATGATGCCATTCTTTATCATTTCACGCCTTACACTCAGCTGGCTGAAACCAGATCCATCCAAAAATATGGAGTACACGTAATATTTCATGTAGGTTTGAGGCGATGATAAGTAGTCGTGTTATTTTCTCAGAAGGATGTAAGCTGTCGAATATGCCCAACAGTCAAGAGTGTTGACTATTCATAGGATGACCAGTGGAATATTCTTGAAAAGAAATTCACTGTAAGCTGTTTCGAATGAAAACAATATTTGACATGCATGAAATTGAAGATGCAATCGGTTATCTAACTAGTGGGCAGGATAGTCGAAGGTCTACCACTGTCTCTTTCTGCTCACATAGTTTTGATTTGAATCGTTTAATGGAGACTGCCTGAGGAAATCGGAGCAATGAAGGTTTCTGCTGGCAGGCTTCTCTTAATATTCTCTCAATATAAGTTTCATCATTTGAGAAACTCGTCACTGATTCTCCTATCAAGTGTTCCTTATCACCGCACTAGGAGTGTGTTGAAATCTTCCATGTGATTTATAATTTCGTACTGTTGAGGCTGTAGCCAACAGAGAGGAGACTGTGAAATGATAGGAGCAACGTTAGTCTTAGTGTGAACAGTGTTCAAATAATGCACAGATGTTTCAGTGGAAAGCATCGCATAATAGTTTCCACTTGTCCAGGATCTTTATATACAGTAATAAGTGACAGTAGATCGTGCGACACATATCTGTCTGGGTTAAAGCGCAAACCAATTCCTTATCAAATCCCCTACTCGTTTCATTCACGAAATGACGTCGTCTCATCATCTAATACTTGCTGTCCCTGCTTCGCTCTTCCTCACAGGAGGAATCAAATGAGATTCCAAAGTGTGGAATCAATACTGGGATTCGGATGCAGTGAAATATTTCTGAATGAAGTGAAGATTTCATAAGTATTGACAAATAACTTAGGCAAATAATTCATGCAATAAAAGTAATAATTCACACATTTACATCTTGCTTGGAGAACACATAGAAAGCGCTCAAGACGAGTACCACTATCGCTAACGTTGATGTAACCGTGTCAAACACTATCACCCCCATCACATTCAATCGAGGCAAGAGCATAGCCAACGCAACTATTGGAATTTCCACCACAAGTATACAGTTCAGAGATGTGAGTCCAGCTTTCAGTCCAACAGGTGACAAAAAAGCAGCGAATCCAACAGACCACAGCACAATCTATGACAATGGAGAAAGCGAAATGAGAACATGTGATCACACTGGATAGATTGATAAACATATATAAACACATATATTTACAATGAATACTGAAAATACAGTGAATGCTCAATCCTGCATGAAGAAACAGATAAGCCACATTCTCATCACTCACAATCAATCACAAATAAGCAATTCTCTCGAAGTCACTGTCATCCTGTGAACTGTTGATCATCCTATACATGTCGACAAGAGTTAACTCTGCAAACTGCAGTTAGCTGCACTGGCCGACTAATTAACGCCTGACAACTGGAATGACTATGCCTACAACAGTTGAAAATATTTTGACCGCATCATCCATCCTTGAGGATAAATACGATGAATTCTAATGAAGTTCTTTCTTGTCAAATAGAATCAAAGTCTGAATTTCGCAGCTGCTATTCCCTGTCCCTCTTTTGGGTGGGACAGGTCAACTGGAGAGTCACCAGAGATGTCCAAAACATGTCCATCAACGTGTTAATATCACTTCAGTTCAGAAAACGCTTCATCTGATTTCTCACGAAGCTGTTTATTCATTAAACTGTTTGAATGAATTAGACTGTCGATTGTCTTATCCCAGGTCATGTAGAATCAACTTTTCGGGAACTCCAGTTTATTCATATCTCCAGACTGTCCCTCAATAAACACTTCCTGCTGAAGCAACAGGTGGATTTACGTTTCCACATTTACGAGTTTCTAAGATACAACTTTTCTCAGCTTTCAGGTCGTTTCTCATGCGCAAGTAGTGAAACCACGCAGTCATTGTCACATCGCCAATAAGTGAAATAATGAAAGTGGTGTGTAATGTGAATCACAGGGATGATCACTTTGACAAGGTAGTAGTGGGTGAAGACACTTTCAAATTGCACCACAAATGACACCCATTCAGTTAAAAACAAGTTAGTCTAAATCCCCACAATTTTTTGCAGGGTTACAAAAATGACACTTACTACAATTGAAAACACGACATAGACACCAATTGGTCGTGATCGAATTCTCGACACGAATACGAAGAGAAGTAACACAAGGAGACCGACTCCTCTGAAATGAATTCACAAACATCAACAATTCGTTTCAGATATTACATAGTTAATCGGAATTGTGCGTTATTTGGTTAGTGCATCACAGTTCATAATATTCAAGTTGCATTTTCAATAGAAATGGTTTTCAGTTTGATGATCTCGGTATATCGATGCCATCTTTCAGTGCCGACATCAACTTCTCATTTGTCACACGATTCATTCGCCCGGTGCTTCATGAAATCACTCGTTCGTTTTCACTGTAGACGGAAATCTCTGATTTGATGATATAGTGAACCTCACCGTTTTCTAAGCAACGGAAAACATAAATGCTACGGTACCTGGCTTAATCTCTCTGCTGAGTCGACAAATGAGTGAAAACAACTCGTCGCATATGGTTCACAAATGACATGGGAAAATGAAAGCAAGTCAGAGGAGACTGCTGTAATTGAAATTTTCCCTTTATCAAGAGCCCTTGAAATGAGGATAATTTAACAAAGCAAGTTCACGTGGGGTTGTTGTGGAATCGAAAATATTTTATGATCAGTAGAAGGGAAGTTGTTCTTATGAGGAAGCAGTAACACAAATGACGAAATTGCAACTGAATTGTTTTGTATTTTATACAAACTATGATGAAAATTTGACTGGATATTAGTCTCCGAAAACAAAACAGAACTTAGATAAATTATTTCAACCTCATCAGTGCTACGGAAAACCGTCATCAATGGGGATTTTATGAATTGCAAAATATTTACAAACCAGATGTTCTGCAACGTCTAACTGTATTACCTACTAACTCTCTTACACACAAATTCTCAACATACACTCCTTGAATACCGAAACCATATGAAATGCAAGCCGTATATTGAGTGTGGAATTTGTATGAATCTGAGAGCAGAACTGCACCAATTTATATTGCATGAGATGAAATATTTCCAAGTCTTCTTCATTCACTATTTTCAGACAGTGGACTATGCGGTCGATGTCGTTCAGGCACAGGAGAAATTATGAATTCACTAGAAGTTTGTTCAAATCAAACAGTGATCAAATATAGAGGAGATATCCACACGTGAAACAGATAGTATTGTTATGGAACAACCAGTATCGCCATCACTGACCAATCTGTGCATCCACTCATTGGAAACAGCTGCAATTGTGAGATGCTCTGATCGTCCGAGATACGTAGATAACACCTTTGGACATCATTAAATGTAGAGTCCTAGATGAAAATCTTCACCTGATAAACAACATACCCAATAGTGTTGAGCTCTGCAAATATGTGGAACACTATTCGCATAATTTGAAGTATCTTAACTGGTTTGTCGGACGACAACCAGATGATAGACGAAAACTTAATATCCTCAGAATGCTTCGCATTTGGACAGATGCCCTAATTATGATTGTTATTATTATTCAGCGAATCTGTTTATCACCAAAGTGACTGAAGTTAAGACCCGAATTAACTTGGCTGAACAACTATTACCTGGAGTCGAAGTAAGCCACAGAAGGTTGAAATTGGTTGTAAACTGACTTAGGTTGATCCACTGTCCAGTCCTAAGTAGTCCGACGAATGTGGAAAGTGTAAACTAACAACTCAGGCCTCCTCCATGGTTGTTTATAAATAAACTTGGTCCTGTGTGGCTAGTTCTACTGACCGTCAAATAAAATACAAAACTTCCCAGTGCATGTCTGAACATAATCAGACGTGGTTATCAAGATGAGACAACGATTCACTAAGATCAAAGCAAATGATTAAATATGTAGACACTGAGAAGAAATTTATTGAGTACACTATATCTGGAAACCGTTTCACAGAACACTAGTAACGCAGAAGTCTTCAGTAGTCATGGACATCACAATAATCAATATCATGTGTCAAGAATCCAACTAAAGTTTCGTCATGAATATTATTCATATGGTGACATGATGCAAACCATTTGTCAAGATTTTATTCGATAATTTCGCTAAAACTTCTGATCAGCTGATATCTCAAAGTACGAAAAAGTCATATTTGTAGAAATAATAATTGACAAATAATTCCAATATCTCTGTCGACAGATTGGAAATACTGGAAAATACAACATCTAAACTATAAATAATAGGGTGCATCTGGACCCTAATATCGCTGACAAAATCAGTACAAGCAGTTCCATGAAGGGTCTCTATTCGAAGAAATTCACTTTCTTAAGCTGCACAATAGAATTCAGCAAGGTTCTGAACAGTGACAAAGGGAAGAATCACAACACACATCCACAGTTGCTATTAGTATTCAATGCAAATGAGAAGTTGAATATAGTAGATAGAATTATACAATAATAACAAGTCTATATTTCAGACAATATGCGAAAACAGAGTGCAGAAATTTTCGGCCTTCCGAAATATTTTATCTTCCTACAGGATTTACATGTTAAGTGATAATCTGAAGTATGTCGTGTGATATAGCGTTGTTCCATAGGAAGAGAACACCAACTGTGTACATTTTTGTTCATTCATTTCCTCAGTGAAATGAGCATCCTTCCGTTGAAAACTAACTCACTCTGTGGGCGAGTACACGTAGTGATCATCTGATACAATTGCATGGTCATAACAATCAGAAATACTGTAGAAATTTGGCATTTCAATGGATGGAAACTCTGGTAGCCCGTCGATTTGAGCAGGCCACCGTTATAAAATGGTGAGATACATAATTTACCAAGTGGTTTTAATCAGGATGCATATAGAAAAACAAAGAGAATTTCATGTTACCTAGGAGTTCCAGAGGAGAGGTGAGTCAGAAATGGTCAGGCGAATGAAGTCATCAAACATATTTGAATGAAAACAATAAGATTCGCGTTGAGCGATGCATATATCTGGCTCCACAAGGACAGGTGAACTGACGTGTGCACATAGAAGTGGTCAGATGTGAGATCTCGTCCTTTAGGATCCTTCATACGAGTGGCCAACTGACGAACACCACTCTCAGCGTTTCTGTGAAGGGACTTCTCTTCGCGGAAACCGAAATTCCTCTCCTAAGATCATCACCAAGTAGGTTACTGTTAAATTCAATGTTCATCTAAAACTTTCATTTCTTGCACGGATTACTTGTTAAGCTTTTGAATTTTTAGCTTGACCTTCTCGACAATAAGCCTCGCTGTATGTCCGTTTTGGAAGATTTCTTTCTGAAAAGTCTAATTCTTCTTTCAGAGAAGTTAAGCTACAGATGTGTGGGACACGAGTGGCTAGAGAAATATTTAGGCTCGATTCACGTTCATTTGGTATTCAGCTGTAGAAGCGTATCACTTTGCTGCTCAGTGTGGTTCTCCTATTGATCGATCTTCCTGAAGACCCGTAGGTTCTTCGTGTAAATTCAACCTCATGAAAAGGCAGTGAAGATTCATCTTCTACTGAAACAGTGAGCCTTGTCGGTGGATTACAGCTGTTGAACATGTGTAACACTAGTAATTGTGATCATGACTATCATCAGGGTTAATGAAAATGTCATCCACATATCTAGGACACAATGGAAACTTATCAATATTTAACTTACGTGGACCATTCCTGTGACTTGTCATGAAACAGGCTGCTTGCAACGAACCCACGTGAGATCTCAATGAAATCCAATAATTTTGTCTGTAGAAGATGTCGTTGTTCGTGAATGGAACATAGTATTTCCTTTGTTTCCATGTGCATGCATATCAAAATTTACATAGTAACTTTTCTTATCTCACTAGGTATTTCTGTCGACCTTATTCAACTTCTTATATGCACTCATTAATATAACCAACCATCTTGTGACGATTCTTCCATCTGTTAACGTTCAAGTTTAGTCGTTCCCTGTGAGTAAACTACTGATGAATCTTTCTTAATGCGACTGTTCAAGCAAAGAAAAGGAATTCATTGAAAAGAGACTCTTCACTGAACTGCTTGTATTGATTTTGTCAACGATATTAGGGCCAAAATGCACCCTATGATTTATACCTTAGACGATTTACCTTCCATCATTTCCAATCTGTCGAGCGAGAGGTTTGAATTGTGTATCAATAATTATTTTTACAAATATGACTTTAACTTACGTTGAAATATGAGCTGATCAGAAGATTTAGCGAAATTATCGAATAAAATCTTGACAAATGGTTTGCATCATGTCACCATATGAATAATTTTCATGCCGAAATTTTAGTGTGATTCTTATAGGACGACATTAATTATTCTGATGTCCACTATTGCTGGAGATTTACAGATTTTCTGCGATCGTGATTCTACAAATACTCTACTCTGGAAAATTCATTCCAGTGATTATTTTATGAACCAACTGTTTTGATATCCTTGGAGCAAAATGTGAAATCAGTAATTTGAATAGAGATGAACACCAGACTCTCCCAAAACTGAAGGCCTAATATAATATAAGACTCTCAATTCTTGACAATACAGCAAATACTAATTTAGTTATCGAGTGTGCTGTGAAGTGGATTACTGCTCTGTATCACAAATGAATTCCACTTGTCAAGGTGTGATGAATTCAATCGAACATTCGATAAATAATGTTGAACAGAGAACTTACATAATAATAAAATATACCCAAGAATTCTTTTTGAAGAATTGCCAAATCACGTTCCTACAACCAAGATAATATTTCATTGGAAAATTTTATGTATTCTTACACGAAGGTAAATAAGAGGACAACACCAGCTGTCACCAATATCATAATAACTGTATATATTGTGATCTAAGAATAAAATTACTCACTCATCAATCCATTTTCATCTTACCCAAATGTTGTCAGGGAAAGGGATTCGCTGTAACCTCTCGGTGGTATAATCAGAATTCCCATACGATGCATTAAACCGTGACATTTTCCAGTGAGCTGAAATTTACGAAGAAAATGATAGACGACAACGGCGCAGAAGTAACTTAATCACCTCAGAATATACATGATGAAAATGGACATATAGATTAGACTTTCCAAATATGCCAAACGAAAATATGGTGTGGATATGACTGTCAGATTATTTGAACATAATTCAGGTTCCGTAACACTTGAGAAATACACCTGTTTGCGAATGTTGATGAGATGGAGTCAGTGATCGTATGGAAGAGTGTGCTCTAGGAAATTGAGTGGGTTGGAGAAAATCTCATTTGTCTTTCTCATACACGATATCAACTTTGAGGAAACAGCCTACTGGAGTTTCTCTTCTGCATCATCAGAGATAAAAACTGGTTTCATTTGGCCATATATACAGAGTCAATATATACATACAAGTATCAGACGATGACACCTTGCTACAAGACTGGGGAGGATAAATGCGAACATCAGTTCGCTCTATCACACCTCACAGAATTCTGAGTTTATTAGACATCTAGTCATCACACCCTCATATTCTACATTGATCAGATAGATAAAACCCAAATAAATTTGATTGAGCGTTCTTCCTATATTCACACTCAAGTAAAATACCTCGAACATAATCAAAGTCAGACTAAAATCGTCACCTTACTATTCATATTTGAGCAAACTTAGTAATAAGTCAAACAAACAGGCAGCAAATGAGAGATGAGATATAACTGAAATTCACTTACTTGTTGTACCTCCGAGCTTCGAATTTACGTGCGTTCGAGAATATTCTCACGTATTTTCTCATTTATATATACTTGTATATATTCCGACTTCTTTGATGATTATTGACGCATTTTTACATATTGAAGGATCATAGTCCATTCTCACTCTAAATGTGATTCCACTTCACACAAAATGACTTTTTTCACATAATCGTCTTATTATGCATGTTGTTCTCATGTGGTTGTTTGTATGCATGTATGTATGTAACACATTGTAACAGTAAGCACATTTAGTTATCTGAGAATTCAGTCAGGAGGCATATACTAATTACTTCGTTTGAGAAGGCTATTGACCGAAGAACGACGCTTATGTCGAATGGAAGAAGCAATTTGTGTCGAAATAATGGAGTTGATTCCTGGTTCATTTAGAGGGTTCTCCACGTAATTGTCTTCTTTGAGCTTGGTCATTTAATTGCGAAGCCGTAATCAATTTTACAGAAAACACTGTCTGAGTTGGACTCAGAAGCTGTCTTATTTTGTCTGGCTTTATTGATTAAAATGAATAATAGGGTGAGAACAACCGTAGTTATTCTCGAATTTCTCAAACACTCAAATGGCTCACATCGACTTATAGTAATTATTTCATTCCGAACACGTAGTATGGGTTAACAGTGTATCTGGTTTATTGAATGATCCCAACAAAACTATGAAAACAACTTTGAATCGAATTCCTCTGTCTCATGGACTTGTCATAATCTGAGTACATCGTGATGAAATTGGAAAGGAAAAGCTTGAGGCTAAGCAGAGATATCGTTTGGGTGATTTCATTTTCAGAAGTGGGACAATTGCACTTTCATGGATCAATCGGAATATCCACTATTAACATTATTTGGTTGGAAAGAGTGACCGAGAGTTAGAGATAGAGAGTAGGGAGATTAATACTTAATGACTTGAAATTTACCATCGTCTGTGTTTCAAGGAGGTGACGGGTGACAAATAGCTTTGATAATCGCATGGAAATAGAATTAGTTGTTGCTGTATAAGAAGTAAACTCGGAATCATGAAACGAATTGTTGGTGTTTGTGAATTCATTTCAGAGAAGTCGTTTCGCTTGCGTTCCTTCTCTTCGCATTCGTGTCGAAAATTCGATCACGACGAGTTGGTGTCTATGTCATGCTTTCAATTGTAGTATGTGTCATATTTTAAGCCATACAAGAAATTTTGAGGATTTAGGCTAACTTGTTTTTGACTGAATGGATGTCATTTGTGGTGGAATTTGAAAGCGTCTACACCCACGAATACCTCGTCAAAGTGATCATCTCTGTGATTCACATCACACATCATTTTCATTGTTTCACTTATTGGCGATGTAACAATGACTGCGTGGTTTTACTACTTGCGCATGAGAAAGGATCCGAAAGCTGAGACAAGTTGTCTCTTAGAAACTCGTAAATGTGGAAACGTAAATCCACCTGTTGCATTAACAGGAAGTGTATTCTGGAGGCACATCTTGAAGGAATCAATCAAATGGAGGTCACGAGAAGTTGATTCTACATGACACACGATAAGAATTTTGACGATCTCCTTCATTCAGACAATTCAGTAAATAAACATCTAAAATAAACTTACTGTATACCAGGAAGCATTTCGAAGGAATGATCAAACTGTGGTCTCGATAAGTTGATTCAACATGACGCAGAGTAAGACAACCGACAGTCTACTTCATTCACACAGTTGAATGAATAGACATCTAAAACAGATTGGTGAGAAATCAGATGAAGCGGATTTTGAACTGAAGTGATATTCACATGTTGACGGACGCGTTTTGGACATCTCTATTGACTCGCCCGTTGATGTTTTCCATCCAACAGTAGGACAGAGAATACCAGCTCCGGAATTCAGATTATGATTCTATTTGACAAGAAAGAACTTCATTAGAATTTATCGTCATGATCCTCAACGATGGATGATGAGGTCAAAATATTTTCAACTGATGTAGGCTAAGTCATTCTAGTTTTCAGGCAGTGCTAACTGCAGTCAAATCATAAAATGAATAATCACACAATCGACTCGTCATTCTGAAACTGGAATCATCTTTACGGTGTGAACCGAATTCTCTCTACAATTTTGACAACACACAGACATCTGCTGATGTATGATCTGAAAGCCGACAGTGAATGTGTAGATAATTCTTTATTGATTCAGGTGTCTATATTTCATCATATGAAAACAGTCCTATCACATTGGCTAGATTATTATAATTAATTTAATACGGTGAAATATGAATTGCTGTACACTTGAGATGATCGCCTGTATTCACTCATCTCTGTCAATAATCTTTCTCTTTCTCTACTTTGTAGTTATTGCTCATTTGTGTCAATAATTATGACTTGACCGCTTGGGCGATGGATTTCATTGCTGTAGATTTTACCACAGCGTTCATCATCTGGTTTTGTACGATCAACTTGTTCCGTCTACTCGAAAGTAATTTAGCATTGTTTTTCAAAGAAACAACATACACGGATAATTTGTAAAATGCTTCTTCCAGTTTATCTTTATTGATAGACAGTTGAATAGGACGATGTCACTCTGTAGTCATCTTCAGTTTTATTCTCATTTTTGTGATTTCTTGTTCTCATTGATGACGATATGTTAATCATTGTTTCTCTTTCTCATATGAAGTGTGCCATTACTTGCACAGACATTCACACTGATATTCGTTTTCTGTAATAAGAACACAAACCGTCTTTTTTCAAAATAACTAATTTCATTAACTACTGAACTAAAATATTCATTTTTGATATGCGTTTATCGATTAAAGTACACTGGATATGATCAAAGTCAGAATAAAAATCATCACATGAATACTCCTTCTTATGTGTGCAACAAACAAGTTATATATTACTGAAATTTTTCCTTAGCTCTTAGCTGAGAATTCTCGTGCGTTCGAGAATATTCACAACTACTTTTTCATATATACTTCGATTCTTTGCATAATGAGGAATCAAAGTCCATTCTGATTCTCAAATTGATTCCACTCCACATGAAATAACTTTTGTCGCAATTATCGTATTGTGTATAGATTTTTCATGTGATTCTTTGTATGTATCTAACACAGGATAATGATAATAATAATAATCTGCTTTATTCCAAAAACGGTAGTTACAATACAGAATGGAATTGTCAGCATTTTTCACAATATTGTATCTCATTTACTCTAAATACAAATAGAATTAAAACCTAAACAAAATTAAGCATAGGAATTTGTCCATCATTAAGAAATAAAGTAAAAATTTTCGTAGTACGAATTGGGAATACTAAATACAATAATAATAAAACAGTGAATTTGTTTCAAACAGTATTGTCGATTCAGTTTGGAAATTTTCGCATGTTATACAGTATTGAATGTCATGTTCTGTTGATACAGTATTGTGAGGGGAAATACAAAATTAACAGTTATAACACAGCTTAAATGATGTTCACATTTATGAAAAAATAAACAAATAAAAACACAGAATTTAGAGGATTATAAATATAAGAAGTACAATAACAATGAAGCATGATGTTATAAGGGTGGAGGAAATGGTTTATTTAGTAGTGCAAAGAAGGTTAGTTAGTTCATGCCTAACACTATTTTCATCACATAAAGTACATGGCAAATATGATATAGTGAAAATTTTATACTTAGACGTACGTGCACAAAGTCTTCTAGAAAGACTTCTTGTTTCACCTGAGGAGACACAAGGTTGGAGCTGCGAGTGCTGCTGTGGATGCTGACAGTCTGACAAAATTGCTGTTCATTGACAATGTCAACGATATGGCCCAACGGGATACCACTCGCCCTACTGACAGTCTTCAGAATGCTACGAAGTCTAGTTTAAGCAATCCAGGAAAGAATCAGGGCGAGCAGTAAAGAAGAATAGGTAAGATGCACGAGTTGACAAACTGTAAGAGGATAGGTTGAGTTATGACTGAGTGTCTTAACTTCTTAATGTAAAAAGGCAGAAGAAATATTCTTTTAGAAATCGCTAAGACATGGGAAGACCAGGATTGGTCAAAAGAAGGAATTGTTCCAAGATTCTTTACTTCACACTTGATTACTATAAAAATATCATCAATTTTGCAACG